ACATTTATGCCTCCGTGTCTTTGTCTTTCAGGTTGTTCCCTTGGCTGTAATGGCTCTCTTGCGGTCTCTGTGAGCAAATCATTCTCATTCTTGAAGCCCCATCTCCTCAGTAAAGCCTTCTCTCCCAGCTCTACGCCCCTACTGAATTACTCGTTTTTCTACAAGGTTCCTTATGTCACTATTTAGCATTTGTATCTCCTGTTATGTGAATCACAGGTTCTAAGCATGGTCTCAGATTTCCTCAACCCCCTCCTTCTTCCTGAAGGCACCATCTGCCATCAGGACCGCACTCCCCTTTTTGGCCTTGCCAGCAAACCTTATTGCACTCCCCAAGCTGACTAGAGCTCAGGTTAAACTCTGGGCCCACATGGCCCTCATGGCCCCCACACCAAGCCCCCTCTCTTCTCAGTCATTGCTATACTTGAGAGTTGGAGGAAATGCTCCACTACAGGCCACAGGATCTGGCTTTCTGAGCTGCTACTAAAGGGTGAAATGATCAGAAGCGTGGAGGAGTCAGCTCCCACAGTGGGGAGCCTTGATTAATGGAACACAGAAGACAGGAGGGAGCCTGGCAGGTAAATTCCCCTTCTTTTCTCCCTTCCGTGGACTATTCTTAGGAATGATTTTTCCTTTTAAGCCTTCCAGAAAAAGTCCAGCCTGCTGAGTGAACTCACATGCCAAGCAACCCATGTGTCTTTCTGGCTCATAATCCATTACCTCACATTGCTTTGCATCTTTCCTTCCCTTTTTTCCTCACTCTCAACCCTCTCTTCGTACAGATCCCAAATAAAACACGAGCACTTTAATCCTTGCCTCAGGCTCAGCTTCCTAGAGGACCTAGGTAGGACACTCAAGTATTTGTTAATAAATCTGGCAGACTCATAGTGTTTAATTGTTCAGCCATGCACATGAGAGCTGGAAGTACCAGAGCTCTTCCACTGATTTGACCTTGAGATCCTACAAATATTTATACCTTTTAGGAATATAGAAAAGTCAATTGCAATGTAACAATTTATCAAGAAGTACAAGTTTCATTTTGGGGGTTATTTTCATATGACATGGGAATAGTTTTTGGAGTCTGGTTGTCTTCCATGACCGGTTTGTTCAGATCACACTTCCAAGGTTAGATTTGCTTTCACAGATGGTAACAGTTATGCACATTTGTGCAAGTCTGTATACTGCAGAGGAGAACAAGTTTGATAGTCTTATGAAAAAGTTCTCATTTAACACTTTATCAAATCAGATCTTTTGAACTAATTTTTATGATGCATAATGATCTCTCTCCCACTGCAGCTGTAGGTAAAGGGATCATCTTTACCTCTGAGATGAATTTTAAAAAACAGTAAAATTCATCCTTTTTTAGTGTACAGTTCTGAGTTTTGACAAATGCATTCAATTTTGTAACTACCACCACAATTGAGAACGGTTCCATCACCCCTGAAAATTCGCTTACATCACTTTCTAACCAGCCACTCCCTCCAACCCCAGACCCTGGCAACTGCTGATCTGTTTTCTGTCTCTATAGTTTTGCCTTTTATAGAATGTTATATAAGTGGAATCATACAGTATATAGCCTTTTGAATGTGACTTCTTTCATTTAGCATAATACTTTTGAGAGTCATCCATGTCACTGAGTGGATCAATATTTCATTCCCTTTTGTTGCTGAGTTAGTATTCTGTTGTATGAGTATACCACAATTTGTTTATCCATCTACCAATTGAAGGGTATTTGAGTTGTTTCCAGTTTTTGACTTTTGAACAAAGTGCTATAAACATTTGTGTACAGGTTTTTGTGTGAACATATGTGTTTATTTCTCTTGGAGTGGGATTGCTGGTATGGGGTAAGTATATGTTTAATTTTATAAGAAACTGCCAAACTTCTAAAAAATGGCTATACTATTTTACATCCCCATCAACAAGGTATAAGAGTTCCAGTTGCTCACATCCTCACCAGCACTTAGTATTTTAGTTTTTTCCTTTTATTTTAGCTATTCTAATACAGATGTAGTATTATCTCATTGTGATTTTTAATTTTATTTATTTATTTTTTTCCCCCAAAGCCCCAGTACATAGTGGTATGTCATAGATGCACATTCTTCTAGTTGCTGTACGTGGGACATGGCCCCAGCATGGCCAGAGAAGCAGTGCGTCGGTGCGCGCCCGGGATCCGAACCCAGGCCGCCAGCAGCGAAGCGAGCGCACTTAACCGCTAAGCCACGGGGCTGGCCGTCATTGTGATTTTTAAAACAGCTTTAGAGAGATAATTGTCGTACAATACACTGTACATTTTTTTTTTTTTTTTAAGATTTATTTATTTATTTTCCCCCCAAAGCCCCAGTAGATAGTTGTATGTCATAGCTGCACATCCTTCTAGTTGCTGCACGTGGGACGCGGCCTCAGCATGGCCGGAGAAGTGCTGCGTCGGTGCGTGCCTGGGATCCGAACCCGGGCCGCCAGCATCGGAGAGCGCGCACTTAACCGCTAAGCCACGGGGCCGGCCCTACACTGTACATTTTTAAAGTGTACAATTCGAAACATTTGACATGTGTACATCCATGAAACCATTACCACAATTAAGATAGAACATATCTATTACCCTAAAGTTTCCTGGTACCCCTTTGTAATTCCCCTTTTCCACCCCAGGCCCGCTACCCAAGCAACCACTGATCTGCTTTCTGTCACTGTAGGTTAGTTTTATTTAAATGGAATCATAGAGTATGTACTATTTTTATGTCTGGCTTTTTTCATTCAGCGTAATTTTGAGATTCATCCATGTTATTGTATGTAATAGTTGATTCCTTTTTATTGCCACCTTGTAGTCCATTGTATGGATATACAATTTGTTTCTTCATTCACTTGATGAACATTTGGGTTGTTTCCAGCTTTTGGTGGTTACAAACAAGCTGCTATGAACTAAGACAACTTTTTAAAATTATTTTTTCTATTATTTAATCAACTTTATTGAGGCATAGTTTATAGTCTATAAAGTGTACTCTTTTAAAGTGCATAATTTGATGAATTTTAACAAATTCATACTCCCTTGTAACTAAAACCACATCAAGGTACAGAACACCAGCTTCACCAAAGGTTCCTCTGGGGTCTTTCGAGGCACTGTTTTCCACTCCCCCATTCTTAGCGACCACTAATTTGCTTCCAGTCACTCTAGAATAAATTTGTAATTCCTAGAGTTTTATAGAAATAGAATTATACAGTTACATAATTTTAGTTTCTTGCTTTTTTTGCTGAGCATGTTTTTAGATTTTTAGATGTTGCAAGTATTGTTGTTATAAGTAGCAGTAGTTCATTCCTTTTTATTACTGAGTAGTATTTCATTGTATGAAATTTACCACAATTTGTTTATGCATTGGTATGTTGTTAGGCATTGGGTTGTTTCCAGTTTTTGCCATTATGAGTAAAGTTGCTGTGAACATTTATGTACAAGGCTTTGTGTGGACACATTTTCATTTCTCCTGGGTAAATACCAAGGAGTCAAATTGCTGGGTACGGTAAGTATACATTTAATTTTTTAAGAAACTGCCAAACTCTTTTCTAAAGTGGTTATACTATTTTATATTCAGACCAGCAGTATATGAGGATTCCAGTTGTTCTGCATGTTTGACAACTCTTGATATTACCAGTCTTTTAAATTTTAGTCATCATATGGGTGTGTAGTAGTATCTCAGTATTTTTAATTTGCATTTCCCTGATGACTAATGATGTTATCATTCCATGTATTTATTGGCCTTTCATGTATCTTTTGTGAAGTGTCTGTTCAAATATTTTTTTTTTTTTTGTGAGGAAGATCAGCCCTGAGCTAACATCTGCCAATCCTCCTCTTTTTGCTGAGGAAGACTGGCCCTGGGCTAACATCCATGCCCATCTTCCTCCACTTTATATGGGACCCCACCACAGCATGGCTCGACAAGCAGTGCGTCGGTGCGCACCTGGGATCAGAACCGGCAAACCCCGGGCCGCTGCAGCAGAGCGCGTGCACCTACCTGCTTGCACCACCTGGCCGGCCCCCTGTTCAAATATTCTTAATTAGGTTGTTTCTCTTATTATTTTTTAGTTGTAGGAGTCCTTTATATAATCTGGATACCAATTTGTCAGAATAATTTTTTTTTCCATATATATTCCCACTGTATTCAAGCCACACGGTTCTCTTTGCTGCTCCTTAAATAGACTAAGGCCGTATGTCTCAGAGCCTTTGAACTCTCTTGGTTGCCTGGAATGCTGCTCTCCTAGATACACGGAGCTTGCTTCCAGACCTCCTCCAGTGACTGTTCAAATGGCCCTTTTAGGTGAGATCTTTCTTAACTATCCTATTTAAAACAGTAATACCCACAGCCTGGCATTCCCCATTTTCTCTACTTTTTATCATATCCACCTGACCGCTGTATTTGTTACTCGTTTTACTGTGTAAAGAAAAGTATAGACCAAGATGAGCCCCAACCGTAAAGAACATGGAAAATAATTCTCTACAGCCTGTTTAGGAGATTACCTCCTCTCTTGGAGGCTGATACATTTAAGGACGACAAACCACATTTATGATCCTGCTAGATGAGGGAGGAGGTTGATTTCTTTAAGATATTGTCACCTATCGCGTGAGTACCCGAGGCAAATCGCGGATCCCGCTTCAGGAGATTGTCTCTAAATGATGGAATGGAAGGCAAAAAAGAAACTGAGTTCCGCCTTCCCCGAAAAAGAACGGTTCGATCTCGAGCAGCAGAGACTATGTAGAGGTCATCTGGACCAATACTTTTCTTTGCACAGGAAGAAAATGAGAACGTCTCGTCTAAGGCCCAACACTGCTTAGGGACAAGGCTGAGACCCGCGCCCAGACCCCAGCTTCCGGCCCCCGGCGCAAGGATCCTTTCCGCCCTTCTCGCCGGAAGTGACGGACGGAGCTCTGGCTTCTTTTCGCGTCCGCTACCGGACTCACGCTGGGGAAACGGCCTGCAGAAGGGCGGGCGGGACGGCGACCCGGAACCTTCCTCCGGCAGGCGTCCGGAAGGAAGCTATGGGCTCGGGGAGGGCGGCGACAGGACGCTGCTGCGGCCGAGCTTCCGGAAGTTGAGGGCTTTGTTTCCGAGGGGTGGGTCTTCCGAGACGGACGGGTGCCGCGGCGGTGAGTGCTCCCGGCGCGCCAGGGGGCCGGTCCTAGTGGGAGGAGTGGGCTGGAGGTGGGGGAGCGGGAAGGTCGGCCGCGGGCGGCTGTGACCGTGTATTTTCGAGACGACGCCTGTGGTTCCCACCGCCCTTTATCAAGCGTCTCCGGAGGCCGGGCCCTGGTTATGCAGCGCGGCAATGGTAGGCTCGGTCTCCCTTCTAGGGGTGCACAGTCTCGTGGGGAGACAGACAACTGACGAGCGCCGGAGTCCCTGAAGTTGTGCCCAGGCCTAAGAAGAAGCGCGTGTGGTAGGGACCTGGTCCCGGGCTCTGGGCGCCCTGGTGAAGGGACTCTTCACGGCGAGTTGGAGGGGGGAGGAACGGGTCAGGGAACTGCCTGTGCGAGGCGGCAGCGTGCGGGCGAGCTAGGCCACCGGAAGCTGAGGGCCGTGGGCGGCGGGGCGGAGAGCGCGCTCGGGCGCAGGAGAGGGCGGAAAGGCCCGGAGCTTAGCGTCTGCAGCGCCGTGCCGTCAAGTTGGGGCTTTATCCAAAGAGCAGCGGAAGGACGAGAGCCCGCTTACATTTTGAAAGGATCACTCTGCCTGGTGGAGACTGGGTGGTAGAAGGGCCGGAATTGTGAGGCGATCTCTCCTAGGAGGCCACAGCTGTGGATGAGAGGTGGTGGCCTGGGGTGGTGGCAATTGGGTGTGGGAAAGAAGTGGACGGGTCAAAATAATATTTAAAAGGTAAAATTGACAAGCCTTTATGGATTATATATGGGACTTGAGTGAGAGGTAGGTGTCCAACGATGATTGCAAGTTTCTGGCCTAAGTGAGTGAATTACGTGTAAAAACTATTTTGACGTTTGCTAGGGGTCCTTTTTCCCCTAGTGTAAAAACAAAAAACACAAAAATTTTTTTTCTTCCCTGATTATGTGTACTTATTCTATTTTGTGTGTTCACTGTAGGAAATTCAGAACATACACACAAAAATACCTTTTATAGGGGGCAGTAGGAATTGCCTGTAGTCCTACTACCCAAGATGCCCATATTTTGGTGCGTTTCCTTCATGTTTTTGTTTTCTGTATCTTTTTTTATAATTGGGAATATATTTGTTATATTTTTATGTGTCTTTTTTTTTTTCCAGTGGACATTATCATGACAATAAAGATTGAACTGCTGTATGCCAGGGCATTACAAAATTTTTTTTTCCTTGTTGTAACAGAAAAAGTCATATGTAATTCCACCAAGTCAGAGATAACTTCTGGTGTATTTTCCTTCCAATGTTTTTTCTTTTTGTGCACCTTTTTAAAAACCCCACAATTTATGCGACGTTTTATGTTTTGTTTTCCAATCGGATGTTTTTACTTAATGTTATTTATTGCTGTTTTCACACATCCTTAACTACTCTCAAAGACAGCAGTTTTTAATGGTTTTCTAGTCACAGCCAATCTCCTGTTATTAGCTAGATAGGTTGTTTTCAACTCATTACTGTTAGGATGATGAGAGGGCCATGTTAGTACATAAATCCTCAGATTTCCAATTTATCCTGGAGAAAGAGTCCTAGAAAGGTAGCCTACCAGGTAAAAGGATAAAATGAACCTATCAAATTGCCTCACCTAAATATCTCATTAAGATTTTGATTGAAATTGTTTTAAAGATCAAATTTTTGCAATACTTCGTTTTTCCATTCAAGGATATGGTTATGTCTTTCTAGTTATTCAGTTTGTCCTTTATGCTTTTTTTATGTCTGTATATGTCCTGTCCTTTCCTTGTTAAACTTATGTCTAAGAAAGGGTCAATATTATTGATTATTTAATAATTTTATCCTCTCTGCTTAAATTCCATGTGTGAAATGAATATCTTTGAGTCATGTCATACTTCTATAAAATTATTTTCTTAATATTTGTGTTTATGTTCTGCTAAAATGTAAATAAAATTGTGAGATCAGAAAGCTAAAAAGGCTGAGTCGGAGTGAGGTTCATTAATACCGTAAGTAACCTGTGGTCTAAACATTCCTGGTATTCTGCTCCTAGTTGTCTGTTGGGGAAGCTGCCCCTCAGCCATGCATCAGAGCCTGCCTCATCTGTACAACCAGGGGACCAGGCAGCAACCTTGATCCTTTGCTGGGAATGATAACGGAAGCTAGAAACAGCTTAGCATGGTTAGGAAGACATCTCATGAGGATGCCGGATGTGCTTTGGGGATGGATTTTTCTAGTTTAACAGTTCTATCATCTTATTATTAAAGTTATTTTAATTTATTTAATTGTTAGCAAGGATATTTATTTGTTAATGAATCATAATGTTAACTTTTAAACAAAAGAAGTCTTTTGGTTTTTTGGTTAATAGAATCCTGCTTATCTATGAAATGCAGTTAACACATCAGCTGGACCTATTTCCCGAATGCAGGGTGACCCTTCTGTTATTTAAAGATGTAAAAAATGCTGGAGACTTGAGAAAAAAGGCCATGGAAGGTGCTATTGATGGTTCATTAATAAACCCTGCAGTGGTAAGTACAAGTGAGAATGAGTAAGTTCTATGGGGTGTTTAAGAATATGTTCATTTTTCATGATGTTATAGGTTAGCCTAGAATTGTCATCTTCAGTTAAAAAATTCTTGTCCAACCTGTGGAATGGAGTCATATTTAGCCAACTTTGAATTTAACAATGAATAGAAGCCAAAGTGCCAGGCCCTGCCCTAGGAAATGTGGAAGGTTGTGTCCTGGCTCTGATGTAATGGCAGATGCCTGGATCTCCATCTTCTCATCTGAACTAGAAAATCTCTGCAAAGGAGGCATCGCATAGTGGTTAAGAGCACACACTGTGGAATCACGTTACCAGGACTTAATCCCAGCTCTGCCATTTATTATGACTTTGAGCAAGTGGTAGCCAACCTCTATATAGTGCTTACTCTGTTCCTGGCATTGTTCTGAGTGCTTTACATATACTAACTCACTTAATCTTCACAACAACCCTATGAGGTAAGTATATGATTATCTGCATCTAACAGATAAAACGCTAAGGAGTTTGCTGAAGTTCCCCTGGTGGTAAGTGACAGAGCTGGGATTCAAATCTAGACATTCTTTGCCTCAGTTTCCTCATCTATTGCACATGAACAGTAATATGGATTTCATAGGGTAGTTTTGAGAATTAAAGTAATACTGGTAAAAATATTTAGAATATGGTCTTCCCCATAATATTAGCCTTCAGTAAGTGTTATTTTAAAAATTTTTGCTATTTGTCTAAGTTACTTGCCCCTTTAACATTCTGTGAGTTTCTGAACACCCAGGCTCTCGAGATAGTAATTTTAAAAATATAGTCCGTAGGAATTGTGATGAAGTAAAATAGCCTGACACTGGAGTTACCATGAGATAGGGCACGCATCTTCAGAGTGCTCTGGGTTCTCTGTGTGTAATTTTTTCTATTCTCTTTGGTAGATTGTCGATCCGTTTCAGATACTTGTGGCAGCAAACAAAGCAGTTCACCTCTACAAATTGGGGAAAATGAAGACAAGAACTCTTTCTACTGAAATTATTTTCAACCTTTCCCCAAATAACAATGTAATTAGTATGGAACTTACTTTATTTCTGTTGAGCTTGTCATGATAGCATGTGTGTTTCCCAATGCTGGGTTGGAGGCTAAATTCCTGTAAGCCTTTTGTTAGTTACAAACCAAAGTAATGGTGAAGAGAGCTCTGGACAGAGAGTTGGGGGTTAGCACTGCCTGTTGCTAGACAGATAAGCTTTTGACTCACTTCACATAGGCATAAACAAAAGTTCAGCTAAATTAAATGAGGATAGTTTTATCTGTCCTTACCATATAGGGTCAGGAAGATCTCACTAAATGATATCTAAATCTAAATGGTAAAACATTAGACATGGATATTTGTGTGATATCATGTACATCTTTCACTTTCCCTGTAAACTTGAGGATAGAATCCATGTCTTTTCTATATACCAGAAGGTACTGCCTGGTACCTAGAACAGCCTTTATACATGCTCACTCACACACCCAGTGCACAGGAAGAGTGTGTGGTTTGAGATGCTGATAGTAATCAGTTACTGAGCTAAAGACATCCAATCTGTGGCACATAAAAAAAAAAACAACTGCAATTTTGCTGATGAAGTTTTACATTACTACTATAACACAACCAAATATTGTCATCAAGAGAAAAATTAGGAAACCTGTGGCATGATTTAAAATAAAGATTTTGAAAAGTTTATAAACTGCAGTTAGCATGGTAATAGAACTCCTTAGTATGTGGAAGAAAATTTACCAGATAATTATTGTTTCTTTGAGATCATTTGAAGTAATTCAAGAGACTATTCAATTCAGTAAACATCTTTTGAGCTTGTCTTTGTTCCAGTAACAGTTCTACAGTTACATATTTGTTTCTTCTTTCTCAGCAAATATGCCTGAGGAAGGCAGATAAGACAGAAATTCAAGTGCTCTAAGATAAATGGTATAATGAGAATGATAATTCATGTCTGTGGGAACACCAAAGAAGCTACTCATTGTGTAGGGAGGAGGGTACAGTGGGAAGTGACATTTGAACTGGACCTTGAAGGATGAGGGCACTCCAGGTGGAGGACAGAGTGTGAGCACAGGCAAAAAAAATATGAAATATGACAGGATCCCCAAACAGTCCAGACTGGCTAGAAGGCCAGGAGGGCATGGCAAGAGGGTCAATTAGGGCCAGAGAGAGGGAGTGTTCGTGTGCCCTGCCAAGAAGTCTGGGCTTGATTCCATAGGAATAGGGTGCAGCTTTGAGCAGGGAGTACTCTAAAGGCATAACTGGTAGATGTTAGAAAGGGACTGTTGAAGAGGAAAACTGTAGGCAGAGAGGATCATTAGGGTATGAAAAATAAGAATCTGACCAGGGAAGAGGGCAGATGGGGAAATGTTTCAGATTTAGAAACTGTTGGTTTTATTGTCGTTTTTTTCCCTCTTAGATTTCAAAGGCTTTGAAAAAATTTGGTGTCTCAGCAAATGACACTTCAATTCTAATTGTTTACATTGAAGAGGGAGAAAAACAAATAAATCAAGAATACCTAATATCTCAGGTAGAAGGTCATCAGGTTTCTCTGAAAAACCTTCCTGAAATAACAAATATTACAGAAGTCAAAAAGGTTTGTAAATCCATATTTTTAGAAAGTGTAATAAATGAGGATTATAATGCTGTTTGCTTATTGATCACCGATACTTATGTTTTTTGAGCTTTTAAGAAAGGTTAATATAATAACAACAACAAACAAACACATAGAGACAGAGATTGGATTGGTGGTTACCAGAGGGGAAGGGGGGAGGGAGGAGGGTGAAAGGGATAATTCGGCACATGTGTGTGGTGATGGGTTGTAATTAGTATTTGGGTGGTGAACATGATGTAAACTATGCAAAAATAGAAGTATAATGATGTACACCTGAAATTTATACAGTGTTATAAACCAATGTCACTGCAGTAAACAAAAAATTTTAAAAAAAAGAAAGGTTAATATAATTAAAAATTACTTGAAAAATGGTTATAGATGCAAAGAGTTGAAAGATGCAGATTTATGTAAAATATAATTAGAGACTTAGTTGACAAAAGCATTCTCCACTTTAAGAAAGAATAGATAACTTGAAATATCAGGCTCACATAGTACATTTCAAATGTAAAATAAATGAAGTGTGAAGTTAACGTCTAGATGTATGCTTTTAACATTGGTATACATTTGGTTTGTAGGTTCAGAGAGTTATCACAATAATTGCAGTTTAAAGGGAACTTTTGACATAAGTGATGAATTGTCATCTACTTTGCATATTTTAATTGCATTTGTGATTTGTGATTTCATACCATTAACCCAATAATTGAATGGTAAATAATTTTACTTATACATGTTTGAATGATGAAAATAAGTAGTGCATGAATATACCAGTATGTCATAATTTGTCTTTTATTTTTACAGATATATAAACTGCCTTCACAAGAAGAAAGTATCAGGACATTATTGGATGGTATCATTTGTAGAATGTCAACAAAAGATGTTTTGTGAAATGACAGAAATACTAACAAAAATTTTCACCATTTATACAAAACATTGATTTTCCTTTCCTGATTATAAAATTAATATATGTTCATTGTAGAAAATTTTAAAACACAGAATGGTATTAAAAAAAACATTCCGGGGCTGGCCTAGTGGTGCAGTGGTTAAGTTCGCATGTTCCACTTCGGCGGCCTGGGGTTCGCCGATTCGGATCCTGGGCGCGGACCTACTCAGCTCATCAAGCCATGCTGAGGCGGCATCCCACATAGAAGAAGTGGAAGACTTATAATTAGGATATACAGCTATGTGCTGGAGGCTTTAGGGAGAAAAAAGAAAAAAAATGAGGAAGATTGGCAGCAGATGTTAGCTCAGGGCCAATCTTCCTTGAAAAAAAGAAATTCCTAGTCCTACCTCTTAATATTTTAAAAGATAAACGCTGTTACTATTATTTGTTATTCTAGTTTTCTATTCAAATATATTTTATTTTTATATAATAGGGATAATAATTGCAAACATTTATTAGACGCCTACAGTGTACTAGGTGCTTGCCTTAGTAGTTTTTATATCCATCAGCTCATATTCCTGCCTTGACTTCTGGCTACTCCAACGTTCCCCTTCCAAGCCTCCTGGTTCTAAAAGTGTTTTATATGCAAAAATTCATGTAATTAATTAATTCTCACAACACCTTATGAGGTAGATACTGTTATTTCCCCCATCTTATACACACGGCAACTAAAAGATCATAGAAATAATAAATAACTTGCCCAAAATCATACAGCTAGTGTAAACCAAGCCAACTCAGATTCATTTAACTTAAGCTCCTGGAAGGAACACCATCTCCCCTGACCTCTTATCAGGGCTCCCATAACCCAGCCTCAGGTCAGCGCCCTGGACTTCCGCTGAGAACTCAAGACTGACAGGAGATGAGTGAGGGAAAATAACAGCAAATCACTTAAAGGGGAAAGAAGGTAAACAGGTAAGATGTTCAGAAATCCTAGGACAAGGGTTCCAGCACCATAGAAATAGTCTCTTAACTAATTCTCTGAGAAAGAGACAGTATCAGGTCCCAACACTCAGATTAGGATAACTCAAGCAGATTTTATAGATAGGGCTCATCAAAGGGACTCATTAAGAAGGTGTGGGTGGGCAGAGGGGACAAGGGATACTATAGGAACCAGGAGTGTTACTGCCCATGGTGCCTGAAGTGAGGTGGGAGGGAGAGGTACCAGGAGCTGAGGAGAGCAAGCTGCCCTCAGATGTCTAGGGACAGAGCCAGCCAAGGGGACCTGGGAGGGAGAGGGCCAGAAGAGGAAATACCTGGGCCTCCCTGTTCCACATACACTGGTGAAACCCAAGCAGAAGCCAAGAGGATGGGGTGGCCTCTTGCTGTATATATAGATTGGCCTCCCAGGACAGAGATAAAAGTGGGGATGGGTGAAGCGTGATCTGGAGGAAAAAGTGGGAGATAACTGGCACAAAGGATTATGAAAATATGAAGAAGAAGCAAATTTGATGAATACCAACTTTGCTTATTCTGAATCCAACTAAACTAGAAAGTTATGCTTTACTGGATTTCTGACGTTAGTGCAGATGGCGCTGCAGTCAGCAAAACAGCCAGGAGTAGAGGAGTGCATGCCATCCCAGAACAGATCCCAGAGCAAAGGATCTGACTCCTGGGGTTTGCAGACAAGGTCTTGTGGAATTAGGTCATCAAGGGGAAAAGCAGAATGAGGATGGCAGCAGGAGACCTGAAACAGCCTGCAAGCCATTAACCTGAAAAATAGGCCCCAAGCTTATGAGCAATTCTAGTAGCTTTGAGTGTGGTGGGGAGCACATGGGGGATTAAAGACCCTTACACTGTGGTAACTCAGTCTTGGTTCCAGGTCCTCAAAACATGGAATGTAGAATTCCCACATGACTCAGCAATTCCACCACTAGGTATATAGTGAGAGAATTGAAAACGTGTTCACAGACAACTTCTACAGGAATGTTCCTAGCAGTGTTATTCACAAGAGCCAGAAAGTGGAAATAACCCAAATGTCCAAAATGGACGACTGGATGAACAGATGCAGTCTCTCTGTACAGGGGAATCTATTCAAGCAGAAAATCTCTAGTGGTTAAGATTTCATAGTCTCACCACTGCAGCCCAGGTTGATTTCTCAGTCAGGAAACCACACCACCCTTCTGTCTTGCTGTGCCTGCTGCGTGCTGCTGTGATGCTGAAAGCTATGCCACTGGTATCCCAGCAGGGTCACCTATGGTGGACAGGTTTCAGTGAAGCTTCCAGACTAAGACAAACTAGGAAAAAGGACCTGGCCACCCACTTGCGAAAAAGTTAGCCATGAAAACCCTATGAATAGCACTGAAGCGTTGTCTGATAAAGCACCAGGAGGTGAGAGGATGGTGCAAACGGACAGGGCAGGGTTCTGCTCTGCTGTACTCAGGGTCACCAGGAGTTGGAAATGACTTGGCAGCACTAAAAATAATGGAGTATTGACATGTGCTAGAACATGAGTGAACCCTGAAACGTAAAGAGAAAGAGGTTGAACATAAAAGTTCACAGATTGCGTGATTCCATTTCAGGAAACATCCAGAATACATAAGTCCACAGAGACAGAAAGCAGATTAGTGGTGGCCAAGGACTGGGAGAAGAGGGAAAAGGGAGGGCCTGCTTAATGGGGAAGGGGTTTCCTTTGGGTGATGAAAATGCTTTGCAACCTGATAGAGGTGGGGGTTGCATCACATGGTGAAGGTACTAAAGCCACTGAATTGTTCACATTAATGTGGTTAAACTCAGGATGAACTAACCCGCTGCCTTCCCTTTAGGCGTCCACAGTCTCAGCGGGGCCCCTTCACCTCTCAGAGTTGGCTGAGGGAGAGACAGGTAGATTCCCAACCCTCAGTTTATCTGAAAATGTGCCAGGACATCCAGCCTCCGTTTCTCACACGGAGAGTCACTCGTGAGTCCCCTCTCCAGGGACGACGGCTGCCAACATTTGGTGAAATCACTCAGACTTTCTCTCTGCCTGCTTGTGCGTATATGTTATTTTTAAGGTACATTTTACCAAAAATGATTTAAAACATTGTTTTATACCCTTTTATTGCTTGTTGCTGTACTTTGAGAGTTGTTTTTCAAGGCAGTAAATCCTCAACATCATTGTTCATGGCTGTGAGGAAGGATGAAAAGCCTGATGTTAACTGAGGCCACTGGGTTTTGAGGAAGCCACAGAAGCCCCTGAGGACACAGGGAGAGCGAGGGGGGACAGATCACAGACCTCTGGCCCCTTGGCTGCACTGTGAGGTTTCTGACTGGTTAATATTCCACAGACTCATTAGGAATATTCAGCTGTACTTTGGAACCCTCTGTTCTCCCCTTTTGACTCCTAGTTCAAATTTTGCTTAACATTGAAATGTTTCAGTAATATTGAAATATACTGAAAACTAGGTAAGACATGCCCCTGACTCACCACCCAGACTTCATGTTAGTTCAACTCTACTCTGGCCTTTTTGGGGCCCACGATCCAGAAACTCAGCGGTTTCCATCCACAGGCCAGGATTCCAGCTGCCAGCTTCTGATTTCCCATTAGGAAAGCTGCAGGACGACACCTTTAGGGCCATCATAATCTTTCTCTCCAAGTGTAGTCTTTCCCCAACATCCTCATAGATGCTATTGCCAGAAACCTGGCTGTCACCTCTGACCCCTTCCTCCTCATTCCATTTCAGATCATTACTAACTTCTGCCATTTCTGCCTCCAGAACGCACCTCCAGTTGGGCCAGTTCTCACCATCCCCATCACCCCACTGTGGTCCAAGCCACCACTTTCTTTTGAGGGCTCCAGCTAGCCCAGATGGCTCAATTGTGAACATAGAACCGTCATCGCCTTCACAGAGACACAGCCCATTGGATGCACAGTTCAGTGGGCAGCGATGCCTTTGAGCAAATAAGAAAAAGGTTCCTTTTCCTTTAGCCAGATTCAGCTCTGTGTCCAGGCTCACAGCTTAGTGCGAGTAGTAAGGCTTGATTTCAGTTCCCACTTGCCCTCCTTGGCCAGAAGCTCCTGTACGGTAAGTAACCTGCATATCTGTACCTGGGGCCCTCTTGTCTGGACAGCTGCACTAGCGTCGGGGGAGTGTGGAGGGATATCTCCTCCTGTTCTGGCCTCTTCCCATCCCTTCTCCATATGTAGACAGAGTCACACACACATACACACACATCCGTGGATGTGTCACTCCCAAGCTAATAGCATATAATGGCCTCCAAGTGCTCTTGGAATAGAGTCAAATTCCTTTATCTGGACCATAGGCCCTCATGGCCAGGCCCCTGCTGCTCTTACCCTCACCCTCTGTCTGTGGCCATGTCGCCACCTTTCCCTGAAATGCTTGACTTTGTCCTACCTCATGGTTTTCATGCCTCTGTTCCCTCAGCCTGCAATGCTCCCATTCACTCGGCCTGCTGAGGCCTACCCCTCCTTCCCATCTCTGCTCAGTGTCCTCCCTGGAAGCCCCCATTGTACTCTCTCAGGGCAACTGGTACATCTCCTGCCCACCCCTTGCCCCAAGTGGGAGAGGGGGCCACATGTCACCCAATCACCCAAAGCTTCTGAGGAGCTTCTTGGAGGGAGGGACGTGCACCTGCCAAGCTCTCTGCTTAATCCAACTGCCCACAGGGTCCATGGCCTCAAATAAGCATGGGATATAGAACAAATGCCTGATTGTAATGGTGACTGTGGCTTCAGGAAGCCATGAGAATATAAAGCTAGGGACTCAATTGGTCTGTGAGGTGAGGGCATGTGGAGAGAGATGCAAGCTAATTTGTGGAAGGAAAGCATCCCCCCCCCCATGAGAACATCAAAGTTGCATGGAGAAGGGATTTTCCTGTTTTGTTTTATTTTTGCCTGTCTCAGTTACTGCTACATCTCAGTGCAAACTAACAACAGTTATCTTACAGGCTCTGAGCAACAAGCAGAACACACACCACCTGCACATTATACCGGTGCCCGTCAGCTCTGTGTCACCATTGTCGGAGCTGAAAAGGACACCTGGCACATGGCAGATAAAGCA